CTCTGCCCCTCCACCCAACTTGTTCTCATGCTCTCTCTCACTTGTGCTCTTTCTCTCTTTAAATAGGTAAACATTTTTTTTAAAAAGAGAAAAAGTTCTTGGATAAGACAATCCCAGGCATGTTCTTCTGAAAACACAGCCTTCCTCACTTCTCAGAATGAGCCCTGGAAGGCCAGGCTAGGAAAAGATGGAGTCTCCCCTGATAGCTGGGGTAAGGGCAATAACAGGTAATGCAGATCCTGCCTGCCCTCTGTGGAACCTCTGTGGAGCATCAGGCCTCAGCCTGTGGAGCTCAAGTTGCCTGCTCAGGCCCTGTCTCTTCTTCCACCCTCCAGGTGGCACCCAACCAGTCTCCTGCGCCTTCTCTCTCTTCCTGCCCCTCCTTGCCAGGCTTTGGTTCAGGCCAAAAGCAGCTGCTTCATCTGCAGGCTCTGGAGCAAAATGAAAACGTAAGGTTGAAACGTAATGATGTTCAAACATCATTATAATTTCAAGATGGCGGGGCGCCTGGGTGGCTCAGTCGGTTGGGCGTCAGGCTTCGGTTCAGGACATGATCTCACGGTCTGGGAGTTCAAGCCCCATGTCGGGCTCTGCGCGGACAGCTCAGAGCATGGAGCCTGCTTCAGATTCTGTCTCCCTCTCTCTCTGCTCCTCCCCGGCTCGCACTCTGTCTCTCTCTCAAGGAAAAAAAAAAAAAGTTCAAGATGGCAACAGGAGACCATTGCACCAAGTGTAGGGCCCTTCCGAGTGTTGTCCTGAATGACAACACACAGGAAAAGCTAGTCCCAGTTCCGGCTCTCCCCCTTGGCTGCCTGAGGGACCCACCCACAGCCACAGATGAAGTCTTCCTGTGCCAACTTACCAGGCGGTCTAGGGGCTGCCCTGCCTCCCTTCAAACCCTTATAGACAGGACCCTCCCTTGGACCTGCCCCACACCTCTCTGTGTCCAATGCCAGGCCAATCCTGGACGCTCTCGTCCCACCCTGCTCCTGAGGAAATCCTCCCAACTTCCCTACCTCAGAGAAGTTTATCCTTGCTGAAGAAAAAAAAAAAAAAAAATTATTCCTGACACTCATCAGTTTGGTAAGGAAGACTTTATTCAAGAGAGGCTACTGCAATGTGGAGTTTTGTAGTAGGGCAGAGAGAGTGGGCTCAACTTCAAATACAGCAAGGAAAAGTAGAATTTACAGCCAAGGAGCAGGTAGGGGTCAGTGGATGAAAAATTACTGAGAGGAAACCTTGGGGGTCTGGAAGCAGATTCTGGCTAAATGCACCTCACAGGAGTCTTACTGAAGGCAGGCCAGCCGTCGCCTGAGGGGGTTGGTGGAAGATTACATGAGGAACATAGTCAGATACGGACAAAGGGGGAGTCTGGCTAAACTAAGCAGAAATCTTGCCAGAACCGGACCGTATAAGGAGACACCTGCCAAGGTCAGGCACAAAGAGAGGTCAGAAAAGTGCCTGACCAAAATATGGTCAAATACACACCCCTCATCACCTGCAGTGAAAAGTGAGCCAGCCCGAACTCCACAGTACTTACGCCTTACCTTTCATGACATATTTCACTTTTGCTTTGTTGCAAGAAATAGCACATTTCCTTTTCTTTTCCGAATCTGATAGAGCTAAAACCCATCTACTAGGGTGGGGAGTTATGCAATCTGAATTGTCATCATGGGGCATGTGTCCTCTTTGAAAAAAGGCTCCCTGATACCTATAGATATACCCAGTCTGAGAAATTTGCTTCTCCATGCGCCGTTGACTGGCCACTGTGATATAGAGGTCTGCACGCTTTTGGCCCGGTCACTACCATGGACAGATGTGTGTGCTGTCTCCCTCCCCCACCCACAGGGAAAGGTCATGGGGGCAGGGGCGTTGGCCACTGTGGCTTCCTCATCCGAGAACCAGGCCTGGCCCTGAGGGAGGCGTGCAGTACCTCCCCAGGCAGTGAATGGGGACTGGCTCTGCAGCCCCAGTGCTTGGCCCAGGTGCCCGTGAATGGTGAATGAACACTCAGAGCCAGAGACTTCTCCACCTACTCCACTCCACCCCCAGCTTGAACCCATGACAGCCAGGGAGAGGTCTGGTTCCTCTTGAGTCCAAAGCCCTCCAGTGCCTTCTGGGCTGGAGCCAGAGCAGTCTCTGGGGATAAAAACAGAAGACACAGTCCTGCCTGGCAATGCCCACAGCCCAGTGGAGAGACCAAAATGTCAGCAGAAGTAGGGGACTGTGGGCACAGGGACGGGGGGCGCTGCCCAGGCAGGGCAGGGCAGGGCAGGAGTTCAGGGCAGGCTTTCCTGAGGAAACAAGATCTGGGGACTGTGAGGAGCCTCTGCCTGGAGGATGAGGGCTCAGAGGTGCTGGAGGGAATGATGGGGTCAGAAAGGGCAACCACTATCAGGGACTCTGTGGAGGCCAGGCTGTCAGAGGCCTTAAGTGATAGGCTGAGGGGCCCAGGGAGTGACTGAAAGAGGTGACACTAGCTGAGCTGAGAACAGAAGGGCCCAGGGGCATGGAGCCCAGTGTGGGTAGCTGGCCTCAGTTCTGGAGAATTGGCTGCCTGGGCCTAGTCTGCCAGGGCAGGGGGACCTCTGGGCACCTGGTGAGCTAAGGGGCCCGCCAGGCTCAGGAGGGAGGGTTCCGAAGCAGTAGCCACTGCAGTGGCACCTGTGATCAGCTGGCCCCAGAGCCACCCAGCCGGCTTGGGGACCAGGGAACTGGTTTGCCCAGCAGGGATGAGCTAACAGGGATCCGGTTCCCTCTGAGCCACCCCAGCTTCAGCTCTCTCGTGCCCTCCCCCTGCATCTGGGTCTGGCCCTGGTTTCTGGCACAGCTGCCAAGTTTTGGTACCGCCCACCCACTCCCCGCCGGCTGTACTGGCCGGCCCAGCTCTCTAATTGCTGGGTGGGGAGCTGTCCTGCAGAGATGGTTCACCGAAAGGTAGACCCCAGCCACTGTGGGGCACCTGGGCACGCAGCCTGCCCAGTTCCGGGTTGTGGGGAGGGAGTGACCCAGGCTTCAGGTCAGCACCTAGCTCTGCTGGGGAGGGGGGGGGTGCTTCTGGAAGGTCACTGGCCCAGAGATCTCGGTTTGGAGAAGTCTGTGAAATGGGTTCCAAGGCCTGTGGGAGACCAGCCTGCCTAAGTTGAGTGCTCTCTGCTTCCCTTCCCAGGCAGAGGACCCAGACACAGGGGTCTGTCCTGGCCACAGGCTCTACTCAAGCCTGGCTAGAGACAAGTGGGGCAGGGACTGGTGGAAAGAAATGGGGCAGAAGGGAGCGGCCAGGAAGCAGCCCTCCTGGCCTCCAACCCAGGGGACCCAAACACACCCCCAGACACACCCACCACCCACAAGACAGCTTTACACACCTGCCACTTACACAGCCATAAACACACCATCCCCACGGCAGACAACACACACACCCCATTCCCCACCCTAAAAAGGTGGGGCACATCGGCTCATACTCCATAGCCCCATAGGTGCCCCTACATAGCGAATCCACTTACCACCAGGACCCACATGCTGGGGCCTGACAGGCTGCCAGGCATGGCCTGGGAAGGGGGGGGGGGGGATCATGGTGGAAGGGAGCAACCTGGGGTTTCTGCAGAGAACATACCAGAGGATGCTGCTGCCCCATCAGGGCAGGCACTGGGAGGAGAAGAGGTCTGTGCGCTGGCTCCCCTGGAGCGGGAAGCACATCTAATTCAACCCTGAGCCCCCAAGCCCTGAAGGCCTAACAGATAGGAAGTGCTCAATGCATGACATATGGATACTGATCTTTACTGCAGGGAGTGGGGAAGGGCTGCCTGCATGCCAGCCTGGGTCTGTGTTCCAGGCCATCCACCCAGGAGGGAGCAAAAACCCAAAGGGGAAGCCTGACTGCTGAGAGGCTATGGGTGAGAGTGGGCTTTAGGGGGCTGAGCCTAAGGGTCAGAGAGTCCGGCGCAGGGCTGGGAGTGGAGGGCTCCTTCCTCTCAGGACAGATCTTTCCAAAATACAAATCAGATCACATCTCACCCCTGCTAAAAAATACCCCAGGGCCTTCCACGGTCTACAGGAAAATGGCCACGTTCCCTGCTGCGGTACAAGCCCTTCACCAAGTAACCCACCCACAAATTTTGTCTCCTCTACCTTCCCAGGGCCTCCCATCCCTGTGTGGGGGGGAGGGGTGCACCACAGCCAGACAGAAAGATGGGAGGTGGGTTCTGGGAGGGGCAGGGCCCTACTGGAGCCTTTGGGTGCTCCAGGGGAAGCTGTCTTAGGCCGGCCCCAACCCAGCAGAGGGCTGGGTACCACAGTCCAGACTTCCTACCAAGAGAATGTTTCATGTTCTAGCAATGCCTTGGTTGACTTGCCCTTTTGTTTTTCTGGGTTCTCTGGCATTGTTCCTTCCAAAAAATCCCACTGGTGCTGAGAAAGGAATTTCAGCCCACACGGCAGCTAAGGAACCGTGTGGTGCTGGGGCATGGATTCCTCCACTCCCCAACACACATGCCCAGCAGCTGCGCACACAGGCACATGGCATGGCCTCCCACCGACCATGACCATGGAAGGAGCTACATACAGCCAAGGTAAAGGGCCCCCACCCCCAACTATCCACAATCCTCTAGATCCAGGCCAGGGACAGGCCCAGTGTATCACCCAGGGCCTCCTTGTAGAAAATGTGATTTTATTCTGAGGGAGGCCAATGTCCCCGTCCCAGCCTCCCTCCTTCACGCCTGCCCTTCTGCATCACGGGGCCCTTGGTCCCCCAGCCTCCTTCTCTGGGCCACATCTACTCCAGGGAGCAGGGCGGGGCCCTGCCGAGGTGCTCCTCTGCCAGGAGGGCACCCTATCCAGCCCACAGCAGCGCTGGACCCCTCCTCTTGGTCGGCCTCCCCACTCCTGGCTGGCCTCAGCAGCTCCTGCCCCCAACCAGTGTAAGGAAGGAGCCAGCCCTCTCAGCGCGGGCTCGTCCAAGCCGCTTTCTGGCGGTGCTTCTGCAGCCCGCTCACCCCCTGGCTTCAGATCTTGGAGGACTCCAGCCGAGGACTCCAGGGTGCTGGGGGCTCCCGCAGCGCCCGCAGCTCTTGTTCCAGCGCCTGGTTGCGGCGGTACATGTCCAGGTAGCCTCCTTGGATCTCCCGCTGGTAGCGCAGCACCCTTTCCTTCTCCTCCTGCCACGTCCGCCGCTCCCGCTCAAAGCACAGTGCCTGCTCCTGGGCGCGGAGCCGCTCCTGCACCAGCTGGGCCCGCAGCTGCTCGGCGCCAACTGCGGCCTCGCTGCTGCCACCCGCCTCCCCCAGCAGCCCCCTGCTCTTGCAGTCGTCGGTCTCACAGCTGCCCTGGGCTTCCTCCTGAGGGCCCTGCTCCTGCAGGCTCCGCACGGCCTCGCGCAGCTGGGCCAGCTCTGCGTCCTGGGCCTGCGCCTGCGCCCGGCTGCCCCGAAGTTGCGTCTTGAGGCTGAAGATCTCGGCCAGCTTCTGCGCCAGCTCGGCCTGAGCCTCCCGCAGCTGCTGCTTCAAGAGGCTAATCTCCGCCGTCTTCTGGCACACCTGGGCGGGGAGGGGCGGGGCACAGGATGGGCAAGAGCCAGACAAAGTGGGTAAGACCAGGAGCCAGCAGAGGGTGGGACCCCACAGGTGGCAAAAAGGACATAAAAAGTTTCTGTATGCCCAATTTCTCACCTCCCATCGGGCTTCCTCCTCTGGTCGGGTGTTAGGGTCAGCATCCGGGAGGGCACCGGGGGGCCGAGGCTCGGGGCCCAGGCCCTGCTGTGCCCGGAGCTCTTTGCGCAGCCGCCGCTGCTCCTGCTGGGCCATGAACAGCTGGAGCTGGAGGTTGCGCTCACTGCGCTCTGCCTTCTGAGCCACCTCATGCAGCCTCTCCACATACAGGCGCTTCAGCTCGGATAGCCACAGCCGCTGGCGCTCTTCCAGCACCTGCCAAGGGGACGAGGCACCTGCCATGCGGGGATATCCCACACACGGACCACCCAACCCCCCCTCGTTCCTGAACACCAACTGCCAGCCCCTCCACAACACTCCAGCTGCAACTGGAGGTGAAGTGCCTGCCAAGACTGCCCAGGGAGTCTCTCTTCCTCCCTTCCACGCAACTCCTAGCAAGGGCCACCAGTGACATGACATTCCCATCACATGGGGGCTGGGGAACCGAATCAACTCCATCTTCCTTACTCTCTTGTGCCCAGAGGTATGTAAGGGAACTGGCTGGGGACCGTTCTGTGTGTCCTGTACTCCAATGCCAAGGGACAGAACAGGACCCCAGAGCAGGGGGAGCCCTCACCTGTGTGAAAGGGTTGGAGCCATCCTCATCACCGAGGCCTCTCTTGAGATCTTCACAGGTGTCGGGAAGCAGGGCCACCACCTCCTCGGCGGAGGGGCAGGAGAACTCATAGGGGGGCGGTGGCTCGGGCAGGCAGCTCAGCATCGCCAGTGGCCCAGCCTCCTTGGGGACCCGGGAGGCCCGGTCCAGGGAGCCCCCAAGGTGGTTAATGTGGCCCAAAGAGGAACTGAAGGGGCCAGGACCAGTGCCAGGACTGCGGCCAAAGCTGCCCCCGCTGGAGGAGTCAGACAGGCTGGGCTCGGGCTCGGGGCCGCCCTCGTCCAGGCTGAGCGCATGCAACAGCTGGGCCCGGGCCTGTGCCTGGCTGGTCCGGGGCCCTGGGCTCAGGGGTGGGTGGCAGGCCAATGTGTGCAGGCTGCCATTGCTGCGCCACAGCTTCTGGCCCTTGTGGGCTGCCAGGCTCTGCATGGACAGGAAGCCTTTCCCAGCGCCCGCCACGGGCTTGAACACCGATGGGCGAATGCGGCACTGCTGGGAAGAAAGGGCAGCTTTGAGGCCCTGGGCTGACCTCGCCTCTGCCCTCTAATGCTCCCACAGCCCCCAGGATCCTCCCTGAGAACCTGGGGTGCGTGTCACACAGAGGCAGTGACCGGTGACCAAAGACCAAAGCCTCAGGACAGCCTACAGCAGGATTTTCATGTCCCAGCCCCATCAGAGCATCTCCGAGGAGACCCCGAGCTCCCCATCCCTACCAACACTGGGGAAGGGAAGTGGGCAGAGATGCACCTTGTCAAAGCGACCCCGCTCGGGCAGTGAAGTCTTGCTGAAGTCACCAGCTCGAGGATGCTCCCGGTAGTAGAGGGTGGTGTAGTCAGCACTCTCGTTCCGAGGGGCACGCTTGGCCGTCTTGCTGTCCTTCTTGGGGAGGTGCAGGTAGCTGAGGAGCTCACGCTGGCCCAGGCCCTTCCGGAGGAGCCCATCAGGCTGGCGGGAACCCCGGGGCCCTGCAAGCGCTGCCCGTAGCTCTTCCGGGGACAAGTCCTGCCGTTCCAACAGGCTGCCCACGCTGCCCATGGCAATGCCAGCAGGGCCCAGGGCTGTGGCCATGAACTTTCAGCAGGGCACAGGCAGCTGTTTATGGGGATTGAGAGGCTCTGTCAGAGGCAGGTGGGCACTTGCTGCCCAACCTCTCCGATACTCTAAAACCAGTTGCTCTTTGCCTATGTCAGCCACCTGCCTGGCCCAGGCCCAGGAGGCAGATATGGGTCCCGGAAAGAAGACCCAGGACAGGACTCCTAGGATGGCAAGAGAAAGGGCCCCAAAGTCATCTGCCTGGTGCCCCAGCTCCAGCTATAAGGGCCGGTGTGATGGGGAGGACATAGGGGAACGGCCCCAAAGCGGCAGGATGGGGCCTCTCCCAGGACTGGGCCAGCTGTGGACTCAGGCTCTGTCCAACTCTGACCCTGTTCACTCTCCTACCAGGCTCCTCACCCAATCTGGGGGGTGGGGTGGGCAGAGGGCACAGGGAACCGGGGCCAGTGGCTTATGATTCTCCATTCCTTCTTTTTCTCTGGGGAGGGGGAAAACCCAGTTGAGCCCCTCTTCCTGCAGTGGGTCAGAGTTCCCCGAGGGAAGCAGCTGGCACGGGTGGGGTTGGGGGTTTGCAGTGGGAGGGATACAAACAGGAAGGGCCCGAGGGGAGGAAGGATGGTGGTAACAATGGCCACAGTTTCCGGAACAGGTGTTCACATAGTCATAGGGGCAGTGGGGGGAGGCAGGGGGAGCCTCCCAGGAGGAGCCCCCGCCAGCCCCTGCATATGCTGCCACTCCAAAGACCACCACCAGGTGCGTGGGGGGACCCAAATCTTGACCCGGGGTGGGGCCAATTACACGTAGGCCCTAGCTTCCTCATGCAGACAGTGGCCATGGCAAGTCTTATCACTCAGAGATGCTGGGAGGATGGGCTGAGATAACACGACTAAAGAGTCTAGTTCAGGGCCTGGCCCCTAGCCAGGCAGGGTCAACGCAGGCTGGTTGAAGATGAGCTCAGCTGCTCAGATGACCTCCCTGGCAGGTGGCCCAGAGACCAGGTTATGGACCCAGTTCCCATCTGGGCTGAGACCCCCCCACCCCTGGCCTGGCCCTACCACCCCACTGGATCCCCCCTATCCAGCCCAGGGCCCAGCACATGGTCCATACTCAGAAAGGACCTGCTGAATGAGTGAACACCACCGTCTCTGCCTCTGGCCCCCAAGTGGCTCCTCCCATCTACATACAGACACCCAGCAGGCATGTGGTGGCTGAGCACCCCCCACCCACCCAATATGCTTCCGGGACACCCACTCCCACCTCCTCAAACAATGGTCGTTAGGAGGTTCCATCTTCCTCAACCATTTCCAGGTTTTGTGTTTGTGGAAGACAAAGCTCTCTGGGAGACGGAGGGGGGGCATGGCCCTGCCTCCATCTAATAACCTCTGAGGATGTCACAGGGCTCACAGGGCCAGAGGACTCATCCACTTAAGGAATCAGAGGTGCTGGCCACCTACAGAGACACAGCCCTGCCAAGGAGTGATCTTACGGAGTCCCGTGAAATAGCTGTTGTCCAGGGCACTGGGGCTCCTGCAGGTGAAGTGGCTTGCCCAAGGTCACAGAGCTGGTCAGGCTGAGATGCCTGTGATCCCAGCAGGATGCTGTTGAATGTTTAGTGGGGGCCCAGGATGGCATCCACAGCCCAAAGAGTTAGAATTGAAGTATCCCTGGGGTGCCTGTGTGGCTCAGTCAGTTGAGCGTCCAACTTTGGCTCAGGTCATGATCTTGCGGTTTGTGAGTTCAAGCTCCACAATGAGCTCGCTGCTGTCAGCGCAGAGCTGGCTTCAGATCCTCTGTCCCTCTCTCTCTCTGCCCCTCCTCCACTTGCACCCTTTCAGAAAAAAATAAAACACAAAGTATCCTGCCTCCCAATCTGACACCTCCTTACCATGAGCACACTTCACTCTTGTCACTGCTTCTCAGGGAGGCAGACAGCAAAGAACCTGGTCTCCAGCCCTGTCCTCACACTGCCCCTCCATGGGGACCCTGGACACTATCTCATCGCCCTTTGCCATGCCTCAGTTTCCCCATCTCTGAAGTGGGGAAAGACGGCCTGCCCTGGCCTTCCCTTTGGGTTTTTGTCACAGAGACAATGGAGGTGAAAGGTCTCATGAACTATAAGCCCACTGCAAGCATGGGGGGGGGGG